ATTCAGTTGAATTACAAATTATTGATAAATTCGAACACGACTATGATCCAAAAAACGCGATATGGTGGTATACACGTGAGTGTTTTACTTACAAAATGCTCAATCAAGCACTTCGAATTATGGATGCCGACATAATCATTAATATGGGCTTCTTTCTGCGTGATGTACATCAACAAATTCAACAGCTGCATGAACAACAAGTCAGTAGTTATGGACGAAAATCTTTTATAGTTTATCGAGGACAAGGTCTTATGAAAACAGACTTTGAAAAACTTCAGAAAGCAAAAGGTGGACTTATATCATTTAACAATTTCTTGTCCACGAGTAAAGATAAAGAAGTGTCTCTCCGTTTTGCTCGAAATGCTTCAGCAGATCCAAACAAAGTGGGCATTCTCTTTATAATGTCCATTAATCCTTGCTTGAAATCAACACCATTTGCCTCCATCAAAGCGGTAAGTTATTTTAAGGAAGAAGAAGAAATTCTCTTCTCCATGCACACCGTGTTTCGGGTGAATGCAATTAAACAAATGGACAAAAAAGGTCAACTTTATCAAGTTGAATTACAATTAACATCGGATGATGATCAACAACTACGATCACTTACTGATCGGATACGAGAAGAAGCTGTTGGTGATAACGGATGGCAGAGATTGGGTCAACTATTGCTTACAATTGGTCAATTTAATAAAGCAGAAGAACTTTATAATGTATTACTTGAACAGACATCTGATGAGGGTGAAAAGCAACATTACTATAATCAGTTGGGGTTTATCCATTTGAATCAAGGTGATTATGAAAAGGCTATTTGGTATTTCCAACAAGGACTTGAAATTCAACGAAAAACTCTTCCTTCAAATCATCCTTCTTTGGCTACTTCATACAACAACATCGGTAGTGTGTATGACAAGATGGGAGAGTACTCGAAAGCACTTTCATATTACGAAAAAGACCTTGAAATTAAACAAAAAACTCTTCCTTTAAATCATCCTTCATTGGCTATTATATACAACAACATCGGCAGTGTGTATTACAAGACTGGAGAGTACTCAAAAGCACTTTCATTTTATGAAAAAGCACTTGAAATTTGGCAAAAAACTCTTCCTTCAAATCATCCTAATTTGGCTACTTCATATAACAACATCGGTAATGTGTATAACAACATGGGAGAGTACTCGAAAGCACTTTCTTATTACGAAAAAGCACTTGAAATTAATCAAAAAATTCTTCCTTCAAATCATCCTTCTTTGGCTACTTCATACAACAACATTGGTGTGGCTTATGAAAAGATGAGAGAGTACTCGAAAGCACTTTCATCTCACGAAAAAGCACTTGAAATTCGACAAAAAATTCTTCCTTCAAATCATCCTTTGTTGGCTACTTCATACAACAACATCGGTAGTGTGTATAACGAGATGAAAGACTATTCGAAAGCACTTTCATATTTTCAACGTGCTCTGGACATATGGCAACGTACATTATCTCCAACTCATCCTAACATAAAAGGTGTGGAAAAGAGTATTGAATTAGTAAAAGAAGAAATTATAAAGAATAGTTGATAGATAAATAAAAGAACGTTTTGTTCTCTTGTTTTTGAATTAACTCTAGTTTGTAGTGACTCGCGCGCGTGCAGAAAACAACTTTGTAAACAATAAAAACGAAATGAACAAAGCCGACTGATAAGGTAATATACATACATACGTATGTGTATAAATGACCTTCTCAGACACATTTACATTTCTAATTCTTTACGAGTGTTTTCTGTAATATAAGAAGAAGAACTCTTATGAAATTGAATTGTATAGTGTTAAACGAGGCGTCATATGATGAAGAAAAAGTGAGAAAACTGCGATATATATGTCACAGGACAGTGTGGAATCTAGTTCAATTTAGAATTTTCCTAGTACAGATTAGTATTCTGATTTGAACTAGGATAGATTAGAATCTTTATTATTACTAGTTTAATATAGAACGATCTCATATTGTACTAGTTCAGTTTGGAATTCTGTTTTGAACTAGGATATTGTGGAATTCTAATGTGTCCTATTCACAGCGGACTAGGATGGATTGGAATTTTGATTATAACTACTATAGATTAGAATCTTAATTAGAACTAGTTCAGAATGGAATCCGTATATGTAAGATTGTTTAGCTAATATCAAAAAAGGATCAATTTTTAATATGTAAAATAGTTTAGGTTACGTGCATCGCACAGCTAAACTTTAAATAGAAGTATTTTATTCGAAAATCGGTAAATAAATGATACACATCGATTAAAGAGTATAAGAGTATGGGTGACATAAATATCAAATATTTATCTTCTATTATATTTTTACAGTCATATCAACTTTAGAGTAATTTCAGGGTTACTAATACATATAGATGTGCTAGTGATTCAAGTATAAATCTATGATAGTGCAAAGGAAAGAAGGCAAAATGTTGTTTACAATGTTTTAATAGAATCAGTATGAATTATAAAAACTACGACTATAGAAAGTTTTGTTGTTTTTTGTCTTGTTAGAAAAAATTTCCTTATGAAATATATTGAGCTCTTAAATTTATCTTATTTCATTCTATCCTGAACTAGTTCTAATTAAGATTCTAATCTATAGTAGTTATAATCAAAATTCCAATCCATCCTAGTCCGCTGTGAATAGGACACATTAGAATTCCACAATATCCTAGTTCAAAACAGAATTCCAAACTGAACTAGTACAATATGAGATCGTTCTATATTAAACTAGTAATAATAAAGATTCTAATCTATCCTAGTTCAAATCAGAATACTAATCTGTACTAGGAAAATTCTAAATTGAACTAGATTCCACACTGTCCTGTGACATATATGCCGATATGTCATTAACACATGGTCTCATTGAACCAATCGATTAGTATTCATCATTGATGAGAAAAAAATGTCTTCTTCTAGCAAATGTTTTACAACTGAAAGTATAGCTGATAATTGATAATGAATCAGTTAGATAAATTCGACTCTATTTTTGCATAACTGTGAATAGTGAGAAATCTATGAAAGCGTTGAAATCGTGATTTCGATATCTAGATTCGCATCACATATTTGTAGTGAAGTGAAACTCGAATAACAACTAGTTCTTTTTCTTTTAATTATCTCGAAATGTGAAAAAGTCAAAATCACATTTTCGCGACACTTCCTGTAAAAGAACTAAATCTCATATTCATATCACGTTTCAACCATTATTTTCTAATTTCTCGTTACTAAGATAATATCGATACAAAATGACAACTTAGAATACCTACGTCTGAAAAGGAAGAAAACTCGCAAAGGACTACATATTGATCACATACGCATAGTATATTATAAATAAAACTAAAATTTTCTTGTTTATATAAAAAAATACTATTATATATTACATAGTAAAAAGTTATCTATTTTGTTCTTAGTGCGCACCGGCATTTTTTTCCTAAAAGAAATAAATTTAATTTTTTTAAATATGTTGATAAATTTGTTTAACAAACCTGCATAACCTTGTCAAGTTCTATCAATGCTTCTGCTGCAGTATTAACAGCTTCTGTAGTACGACCACTAATCATTGCAGTAACGGTAGATGATGTTGATTGAAATAAATCTAAATTGAAATCTGTTGATTTAGTACGTGATGATATCGAATATGGAACATTATCAAAATGTATTCGAGTCTTTGTTCTGCTCGTAATTGATTTATGAATATTACCATGTCGACCCAGTAAACGTCCTATTTTATTTGATGGAAAAGATAATTCAATACGACGATGAATAGGATTTATCTCGCGTTTTTTATCTTTCGATAATAATCGTTTTGTTGATTGAACTAGATATAAAAATATTTTTTGAAGTTTTTTTTATTTCAATGATTTAATTACCTTTACAATGTTTTTGCATTAATGTACAAAATTTATTTTTATCAGAAATATCACAGATTAATTTGAGTAATTTATATAATGATATTTTATTATCACCATGAATCATTATTTTAGACTGAATTAAATAATCAATATTTTCTAAACATTGACGTGATCTTGTTAGATCTGTTTTTAATTTTTCAAATTCATTTTGTTGATCAATTAATTGCTCATCTATTATTGTCATCGATTCCTCAGCTAAATTGCATGTACATAAAGATTTTTTT